GACCAACCTAGTCCAGTATTCCTACTTGAAAGATCAGGCGATGTAGTAAGTAATGATATAAGTACCTCAATGGGGGCTACAAGCAACTACAATAATTCTAGCTACCTTATGTATAGCCCAAATCAACAAGATAATTATAGCTACCGTATGTATAGCCCAAATCACCAAGAAGCACCAAAAGTTCGGGGCTGCATGCAAGTAAAAGTCTAGCTTTCACTGCCCCGTTTATGACCCTAAACCCTCATTACCAAGACCCGGGTCCCCTAAGTATACATATCCCATACCAATTGCTGCTTTGCTGCTGCCCTTATCATTGCTGGTTGTTACTCGTCACTAAGTAAGTAAATGTCTAAGTGCACGTGTGTAAATGTGTGTGTGTGTGTGTGCATGCGACCTGTCAGTCTTGATGTTTGTTTTGCATCGAAAGTCACTGCTCTTGCTAAACTCTTCCTGCCTGTGCCTAGCAGCTGTTTGCTGTGGTTGAATGCAGGCGACGCCCACAAGCTTTCGCTCGCTCCTTCAAGCAGGCTTGTGCAGGGGCTGAGTTCACAGCGCGAAGCCTCCACCGTTTTAGGGTCGGCGCCACCTTCTCGGTCCATACTTCTTCGCCAATTCACTGAAGCCCAGCACAAACAGCCCCAGATTTTTTCCTGTTCCCTTGTAGTCGTTGGAGACCAATCCGCAGGGAAAGCCATAAGACAAGGGGCCTAACTGATTTCCAATACTTTTTTTTTGGAGGGGATCCTTGTTATAAGTATAGTATAACGGGCCCCCAAAAACACTGTTCTAAATGTTAACGTACCCAAAAATAGTGCATTGGCCCCAAGCCCCAATCTTCACGTAGCGCGACCAAGGCATTTCTTGGAGATGCACGAAGCCATCGCCCGAAGCTCTAAGCCCCATGCTTTCGGGGCCTAAACCTTGAACACATACTGCAACCCTGGTCTACTTAAGCCCGAAGCCCTCAACCCTAAACCCCTAGACCCTAAACCCCCAAACCCCAAACCCTAGCCTAAACCCCCAAACCTTAGACCCTAAACCCTAGACTAAACCCCAAAACCTTCAACCCTAAAACCCTTAAAAACCCTAAGCCGTAAACCCTAATCCCTTAAAGCTCCTAAACCTTCAACCCTAAACCCTTCCACCCCCTAAAACCCAGTAAGCCCCAAACCCCTAAAGCCCCTAAAACCCCGTAAGCCCCAAACCCTTAAAGCCCCTAAAGGCCAGTAAGCCCCAAACCCTTAAAGCCCCTAAAACCCAGTAAGCCCCAAACCCTAAACCCTAAACCCTAAACCCTAAACCCTAAACTCTAAACTCTAAACCCTAAACCCTAAACCCTAAACCCTAAGCCCCAAGCCCCAAGCCCGAAGCCCGAAGCCCCAGGCTGGAAAGGCGGCGAGAACGTCGCTGCGATCTGTGGCGGGGAGGCGAGCCTCTGGGCCTTTGCCCTAAAGGGTGAAGGGGGTTTAGGGTTTAGGGT